ATTTTCAAGTTAAAAACAAAGAATCTGAATACAAAGTAGACCTAGATAGTTCTATTTAACCCTATCATTGACATAACATGACTATTCTTTCACAGTAAACACACTTAAAACCCACAAAACAAGCACTGAAGAGACACAAGTAAATCAAAATCATTACTAGCCTTTTGGTCTGAAAATAAATTATACAAACTTCATTTTAGATACCTAATGAGTACTGGAGACATATGATCTGTCATAATAAAAGATTATATGCTTGTTTCACACAGAAAAGACCATTTAAAAAACTTTACAAATGTAAGAGGCTTTCTGACAATTTTAACTACCTATAGTACAATTGAAAATGGTTGAAATAATTGTACAGCAACTTAATTTTTGCAAAGGTTCTTGCATTGTAACATTAAATTTAGAAAAAAGTTAGGTAGAGAGCACTTTAGATTTTGTTGACATAATATTAATGATAAACAATTTAAAACCAATCAGTGGATATGATTGGTTCGGACCTTTCATCTCTTGGAAACCACTCAGTGTTTAGGATTACAGTCATTCGTCGGTTTAGGGATTATGTTCAATCTTCAGGTATCTGCAAAATAAGATACACAATGATTGAGAGCAGTTCAAGGAAGGGAAAGTGATAAGGAATCCTGCTAAATTTACATTCTACGTTTTAAAATTACTACCAAATGTAGTCTTCTATAGTAATAGTTATACTTTGTACAATACAGTGAGAGAATAATGAAAACTTAGTACAATAACAAGTTGTACCTGATTCATCAAGCTGTTGATAGTGTTGATATTGGCGTTGGTGGCTGGATGTCTGGTCCGGAATTGATAAATATGTGGCTCTTTGGAGCGGCCCCTATGGATGCCCCGACAGATTTTTGAACTGGAATCTAGATGGCACCTGTAAAGAGAATAAACTTTACAATAAGCGTGCAGGGGAGGTATGCCTATCTCTTACTGCCCCTCAAGTTTGAAATATTTACTGGTTTCGTGCTAATCGTACAAGTAGAATATATATCACTCCCTAGAACATCTTTAATTTTCTTTCTGCACTGTTTACTTACCAACACCTAGTTGTCTGTTGGAGCTGCTGCTGCCTTTAACCTCTGGATGATCCTGCAAGGTGCGAGATAGGTTGGAGGTCCTTAACCTGACAAAAACAAAAATGTTTAAGGACTTGGAGAATATTTACAAGACAAAAGGAGGCAACAGAATAAAAAATCGGCCATGTTGGCAAACTTCTATTATGAATAATTGATAGGAATTTTCAGAATCATTGAACAGTTAGAAAGTGGAGAGAGAGTGTGAAACTTGTGTCCACCAGGTGTTCAGTGATCCCCGGTTTTATCCTAATACTTCGGAGCCAAAACATTATAAACCGTGTGACGGCAGGATTTCACTTCACTAACAAGCAGAACAAGCAGGGCAGCGAAACTGAAGGTTGTCCTCAGTGAACCGTTTTTCTGCTAACTATACTAAAATGTCCCAACTTTGTACCTTTAATACAGTGTGACCTGTCATCAGCAGATCAGGGGAGACAGACATGGCATTCCTCAAGCTAGTACCAATTAAAAGAGATTTGCTTGTCTAACACAGAACAGGCATGTTTAAAAATGCACAAAGAAAAGCCATTTCTAAACATTCAATCTACTTGTAACCGCAAAAAAATAGGTTAAAATTTTAGAATTACAATTTAAATTTTGGATAGGTTGTTTCATTTTTACCATTAAATTAAGAAATTTGGAGATAGCATTTCAGATTTTGCAGTCATGTCATAACAATAAACAACTAACACCAATCAGTTGTTTTGATTAATTAATCCGATCGTGAAGTTGAATGAGCTAGTGTTCATTGTTCGCGTTGGTCCCTTTCATCTCTTAAAAACTGCTGTAGATCTGTGATGAAGAATACTTGATGGGAGAGTTGGGGAACATTTAATCTTCGGCTAGCTGTAAAATAAGAAGCACAATAAGTCAGAGCAATTTAGTAAATAAACAAGAATTACACTTAACTAAAACCTCTTAGTTGCTAACAAATACTAATATTCTGAGATAATTGATTACTTTTTGTACAAAAATGAGGGAGAATAATGAAAACTTACCAAGTTGTGGATATGATTGGCTGTTGGTTCATGCTCGTTTGGTTGGTTACTTTGGAATTAAGTTGTCCCTGTTGCTAAAAGTTCACTAGACACTTGTTGGACAGTTTTTGGAAAGGGATGAGTAACGTGACTACCCAGCTGCCCCTTTACTCCAGGCTTAGAACTATGAACTCAATCGAAACGGCATCTGTAAAGTAAAAAACAAAGAGAATAGATGAGTGAACTGCACATACACTGACCCTTAAAGTCGAGTGAACAAAGCAGGCATTGTACATTGTAAACGCCGGAAAGCGATATTGGTTGCAGAGGTTAGAAAAGCAGAGGAAAAATAAAGTTTTGATGTTGAAAGTTTCAAAAATAGCGAAAACAGGGCGCAGAAAATAGCGAGTAAACTACTCACAGCGGTAACCGTAAACGCTCATAGGAATCGCACGACAGTACGTTGTCTGCTACATCTCCATGATGTGCTTTGTTTTTCCGACCTCTGACAGTTCTGCTAGAGTATGAGAAATTCAATTCACTTCTTTCTAATAAATTATTTTTCATTCAAGGCGGTGACTCGCTCTTAGTTTTTATTAGTTGAACGGAACATCAAGTTTAACAACAAACATTATATATGTTGAATGTCATGGGTTCTTGTGGTTCGTACAAAGGAAAGCACTCAAGTTTACCATCTCCGGTGAGCTGTGTGTATCAGTACAGGATTTTTGTTTGCGCTGCTTGGCTGAGGAATGTTTGGCCTCAACACCCCCTGTCATAACCCTAACTGGTCACTGATAATTAGACTTCAACGCAAGACAACTGCAATGCACCACCAGGAGCTTGTAACCATCATTACTTTTGTAAGTTGACTTGCCTTAGATTTGATTGATAATAGTTTTAATTGTTATCAACCTGCTGAACATAGTTTTAATCATTCACTCGCATTAAACATTCGCAAAGAAACACTACCACCATAATATTATATTGTGTGCAAGGTATTCTATTTATTAGTTTTTAAAAATTATTTATAGTTTTTAAAAACTTAACCTTAAGAGTCTAGTGATATTTTCTGCTGTAATTATCCAGCGGTGTCACCATACTATTTATGGTTTACC